AACACTGATAATGAAGACAAGACTTGATCCTGGGGTTCCTTACATAAACTCCGTCACCTTCTAAGCCGTCCTGTGAGCACTCCCTGGCCCCTGCTAGTTATAGTGGTCAAAGTCCAGTCAAGAAAATAGGAACTAGGTGTTTTGAGCAGTTGGATCTCGCACAAAATTATTTACACATGCAATGTAGAAACTGAGAAGCCAAACAGGAAAAGGTGGAGCAACCCAGAGAGAAGCAAGTGCAGGAAGCCTCCATTACCCCTAAGGCTGGAGGGATGTAGGGCAGAGCTGGGTCCCTGGAGCCTGGAAGTGGGGTTGGTGGGCCAAAGCTGGAGCTGCTGTTCCTGTCCTCTGGGATCTGCGGCCACAGAGGAGCTCCAGCTCCTGAGAGCAAGGCGGAGAAATTCCCTGGCTTCTCGCTTCCTTCTGTCTTTTAGTCTTCTTCCAGTACCTTCCATGGACACCGGGGAACATGCAGACAAGGCAGAGCAGAGGAATAGGAAGGTGAAGGGATCTGAGGGCACCAGGCCCTCTTCTAGAACCATGACACTCTCCCATCAGGTGGAGTCTGAGTCCCCCTCCTTCATCCTGGGTGGGACTTTGTAATTGCCTCCGTGAATAGAATGAGATGGGGATGATGCTAAGTGACTCCTGAGAACCGGCTACAGAAAGCAATGTGGGTTCCACCTGGCTGGCTCTTGCTCTTGGGATGCTCTCCCTTAGAACTCAGCCACTGAGCTGTGAGGAGATCCAAACCAGCCTGAACGGAGAGCCCCCATGGAGACGCTCATGGGGAGGGAAACTGAAGCCCCAGATATCGTGGAGCAGAGGCAAGCTGTCCCTGGCATCCGCTGCCTGCACTTCTGACCTGTGAACATAATTCTTTTCTTTTCTTGCCACTCAGTCTCAGGAAAATTTGTTTCCGTGGCTGTTATAACTGGGAGCTGGGGAGACGGGCAGGAGGATTTCGGGGGCATATTTGGGACCCAGGGCAATGTCAGCCTCCTCTCGGATCTTCTCTTTTGGGGAAGAATCTCAACCAGCAGTTGGAGTTGGGAGCACGTGGAGGTTGGTCTTGCTCTTTCGCAAAGTCATAAAACCTTGTTTTTGGACCCGGTCCCTCGAAGATCTCATTGATTGAATTTATACATATTTATCAAGTGCCTAAACTGTGCTAGGCAATGAGTATGGACTCGAAAATAAAACCAGCATGATCCCTAACTTCAGACAGAAGATAAATTACCTTATAAGAAAGTATATAATTACTAAGCGAGATAAATGCTCCGAAGGAAAAATGCTGGATGCCAAGAGAGTATAAGAGGATCTGGATTTTGTTTGGGGTGTTGGCAAAACTTGTCTCAGGAAGTGCTATTTCTTTCTTTTGCTTTCCTAAACTTATTTCTTCAAAGCCATGAAATGTTTTACAATATGCTTTTTAAAAGTTAGCAAAACGAGATCTTTCAATGAAAATGATCATCGGACACACATATGCTAAAAAAACATTTACTCGGGGCGCCTGGATGGCTCAGTCGGTTGAGCGTCTGACTCTTGATTTCAGTTCAGGTCGTGACCTCAGGGTCGTGAGATTGAGCCCCCTGTCGGGCTCTGGGCTCAGAGGGGCAGTCTGCTTGAGATTTTCTCTCTCTCTGTCTCTCAAACAAATAAATAAATCTTTTAAAAAAGGGCATTTACTCACTCACGAGGAACCATGGAGAGTTTTGCCGGAGACACATGAAAATTAGAGACTCCTTCCCCCAAAGAGTGCCTGGGGGTGCTGACACATTGAATTTGTCGTGGAGTTTTAGGGGAGTGACAGTCCGCAGGAGCCAGGGACCCCCGGCTGGCCGATGTGAGTGGTCAATCTGGGCTGTGACTTGTCTCTGGGAGCCCAGCACAGCGGAGTTGGCTGGGGGACAGAGAAGGGAAGGCGAGCTGCAGGGAGACGGGGGAGCTGCACCTACGAAGTCCGGGCAGTGGGGTCTGGGCTGTGCACTGGGGGCAAGAGCAAGGAGCGTGTCAGGTCTCGGTCACAGCCACCGAGTCTGCTGGTCACCACCTGGAAAGATGGCCCCGAATTGCTCCTTCTGGCAAGGCCTGGAAGGCAAGGGGCTGGAATGAGACCATTCCCAAGGCTCTTGATTTCCCTTCCACCAGAGCAGGGCTCTTTCCATCTGCTGCCTCCACCGAGCTGCCCTGCCTTGTCCGTCTGGTGGCATCTGTCTGGTCTATTGGCCCCAGCCTAGCACGCAGCCTTTTCTAGCTGCGGTTCCCCTGTGAGCTTGAGTGGACGTCGACGGGTCCCTCGGCCTCCTCCACCAGGAGGTGCGCCCGGGTCACTGCTGCGACCTGCATCCACACAGTCCGGCCCCCCAAAGATGCTCACCAAGTATGCCTTGCGGGGACGGTCGCCAAAAGACCCGCAGCCAGACCTCAGGGCCACAGCCTTGCTTCATGCTACTGTGGGGGACACCCAGGGCTTCCACAGCAGACGGGGGGATGTGGCTGCTTGGGGCCGTGGCTGCCTTTGAGGGTGCTGCTTGGGGCCACCTCCCAGGCCCACTCCACCCAGGCGTGCTCCCTGCTCTGATTATTCCCTCCCCCAGAGATACGGAGACCAGATTTACTAGCGGGGGGCCACCATAGACACACTTGCCCTAAGTATGTTGGGGTCCAGGACAAGAGTCCACACAGAGGCCCACGTGCCATCGCTCTAAATATCTCAAGATTAACATCAAGCTTACCAGCCATGACCTAGAGTCCGTTGACGGACCCTCTAGAGAATGGAACCCAGGCCAGGGGCCTTCACTGCCCAGTTCTAAGGGTACTTTCTTGTCCTCAAAACCAGACCAGGTCTTGTGCTCTGTGTCCTTTGAACTGTCACTCATGTACAGCTGCTAGGAAACTTCGCTGAGGCTATTCGCTTACCTGGCACCCATTCTACCAAGGGTGATGTTGAAAACGTTTCGCCACCGTGTGGTATAGGTAATGACCAATACCGACCACGGTCAGGCCAATGCTGAGCTGGGGTTCTGGAGGCCGTCTCCTGGGCCAGGCATTGACCCTTCTGTTGTTGGGTCGGGGGGGGGACGGAGGAGGATTCTGGGCCACAAGGAGGGACACTGGGGGCGAGCCTTGGGGAAGGGGCCATTTATCTATCAGTATGGAGAAATTTCCAGATTTTAACAACAGTGCTGGTGTACCCGTGAATATTAACTCTGTATTCTTCCCTTCTTCCTTGGATTTTATTAGGGCCAGCACTGTGCCCAGCTAAAAGACTACATCCCCAGCTTTGCTTGAAGCTTAGGGGGGAGGCAGGTAAGTACAAGTCTTCAGAAAGGCTTATTCAGTTGGGAGGAGTTCCCTTTGCCCCTGTCCTTGCCCTTCTTCCTAAACCTGTCCTGCCTGGAATGATGATGGGTGGAGCCCAGCAGCCATCTTGTGACCTTGAGGATGGAAGCCCCATGTTAAAGAAAGCAAAGCAGAAATATAGAAGGAGCCTGAGGTCCTGCAGGCAGGACTGGGAGCCCCTTCTTGTTCACCCCCGGTGGGGCGGGGAAGTGCCTGGGACGTCCCCAGAGGTGGGGCATTGTCGGGCTTTTACAGATCTCACCGCACCTCACTGGCAACTGGGCAGGGATCTACCTCCAGAAAAGCGGGGTGTGTGTGTGTGTGTGTGTGTGTGTGTGTGTGTCAGAAAGGAGTCTTAAAAATCACCTGTTACTCTTGAGAGAAAAACCCAGAACAGTAGGCAGTGGGGCTATGGGTCGGGGGGAGGAGAGGGGAGGAGGGGAGCTGTGAAGCAGGTAGCAGGTAGCCTTCTGCCCTTCAAGCTCAGAGAATGAAAATGAAAATCTCTGGGCATGGGGGGGGCCAGGGAGGGACCGGTCTCTGAGGGGGGGGTCTTCCAAGAGACCTGAAAAGGTGCTCAGTTTCCCCAGGCTTCGAGGCCGCTGTGTCCTCTGCCCAGCACACTTGTTCTCCGGAAGCCTGAAAGCCCAGCTGACCTCTGAGGGCGGCTGCAGCAGGAAAAACGTTTTCTGAGGCAGTTTTATGGTCCCAAAGTTCTCTAGTGGACACTGGTCAAGGCCCAGCATGGGGGTCCTCCCTTCTTGGCCCTCTCTGCCAGACTCACTTTCATTCCTGGTGTATTTGGAAGGGAGGGACAACTGTCCAGAAGCCCGAAGCCCTCGCCTTCCGGGGGATCTCCCCAAATTCTACATTCCCTGGTTTTCTCTTCAGGGGCCAGGGCCTCTCATTTCCTCTCCCCTCCAACTGCCCAGGGACTTGCAGAGGTGAAGTGCAGCCTCTGACAACCTCAGAGAGAGCCTGCCCTTGGCAAAATGGCTTCCTGGGCACTAGAGAAAGAGCACGGAGGAAGACGCAAGGCTGGAACAGAGCCTGCGGGCTTAAGCCGCCTCCGACGGCCCCTCCGTGTCCCTGACTCCCCTTGGGAGAGTGTGACCCACCAGGTCCTCCTGAGGAGCCCCCCGCGCCTCCCCCTTCACAGGCTCCCAGGCGGAAGAGATGGAAAGCAGACCCTCCTGAATGTTTAACTTCAGCGGAGATGATAATAACTTTCCCATGGACGCAACTGTATCCTTTCCCTGTGTTCCTTCGGGGCTCCAGAAACTCCATACGGTTCTCATTTGGAGCTCGTTCCTGAGGAGGCCTCATTTCCTCGCCACACACCCCTGATGTGGTCAGGGTCTCCCTCCCACAGCCCGGGTGGGGCGGCGTGGGCAGGGGGGCTTCCCTGAGCTTTTCTCTGATGGCTGCCCCCCCCTTTGTCTGGCCTGGCCTCACCAGACCCCTCTCTTGGCCTCTGCCCTTTCCCTAACCCTTAGCCCCCGACGCCTCAGGCCCTTTCAGTTTCTGCTCCCCGCGCCCCGGGGGCCGTGGTCAGGGCTGGGCTGTTCCCCAGGCAGGAGGGCCCTTTCTAGAAGCTTCTCCCACTCAGCCTGGGGGGGCCTGTGGGATGACTCCGGGGGAGGGGGGTGGTCACCGTTAGCACTGTAGCCTATGTGAGTGGCGCCCCCTGCAGTTATCAGACAAACGCCCCTGCCCGTAGGCCCTAAGGAGAGAGCAGTTCCAGAGCCCTTTCCAGCTGGGAAAAGACCCCAGCCCCCTGTTGCCAGAAAGCTCTGCTCCCCAAACTCTTTCTACCGCACACCTCCTATCACTTTGATCTCATCAGGAAGCCCAGAGGAGCTGAGAAGAGGAAAGGGAGGAGCAATGCACTCTCACATTGGCTGTAGTTTTGTTGTTGTTGTTGTTAACATGTTCACATTCCTGGCATCTCTCAAGCTTCAAAGCACCCCCGCGGGGGCGCCAGGGCAGGGGGTTGTTATGGGCCTCTGACAAAATGGGTGAGGATGTTGGACCCAGATCGGGGCCACTGAGGTCCGGGTCCCCCGTTTCAGGTCTCCAAGGGCAGGAGGGGAGGGGAGTGGGGGCGAGCAGGCCGTGGCTTAGTAGTGAGGCCCGAGGCTCCCAGGGTCCTGCTCCAGCGTCTGCTCATCGGAGAGCAGACGCCTCCGTGTGCCTCCGTCTCCTCGGCTGTCAAATGGGCACACGGAGCCTGGGTTAGTAAGAACGGCTCCGGGCACGAAGAAGGAGCGGTGGCGCCCAAGGGCAGGTCCCTGAGATCCGGCTTCTCCCTCCCTGGCCCCGCAGCCTGTCTCCACAACTCCCACAGTGCGAGATCTCCGAGGACAGAAGTCCCGCGGATGTCCCCGCTCTGGCCTCGGCAGCTGGCTTCCACTTCCTTGTTTTCCATGCCAGGTTCTGAGGTCACGGCCCAGAGGTGTCCACAGCCCGGGGCCCCAGTGTCTGGCTTCGGGCTTGGGGATCCCAGGAGCCCACCTGGCCCTCAAAGGCTGGTCCTTCGGGGCAGGTTCTTTTGTGTCAGGCTGGACTGGGGATAAATAGGTGTGATTAGGAGATCAAAGCGCTTACCACGGGTTTGGCCGGAGGGGGCCCTTTGATCTGCCCATCCCTTTGCCTCCCCCCCACCCCCCAAGCCCTGGAGTCCCGGCAACTCCGAAATCTCCCCGCTTTCATTCTTGTCTTATCAAGCTGCTGCCTCAGCTCCCCGCACCGGGCGCGTCTCGCCTGTTGAGGAGGAGCTGGGTTTTCCCTCCAGGTTGTTTACTAAATCACCAGTTCGAAGCCGTAGGCAGGGCGCTGCAGCAGGCCTGCGAAACCCGAGCGGTTTCATTTTGAGCCTCGGTTGCAAAACCTGAAATCTTGATCTGCTTGTAAATGATGGGCGGGTGAATCACGCCTGCCTCTCGGGGTATCTAATTAGATGCAGGTCCTGCCTGGTCTCCCAGAACTTGGCCCAGCGCAGGGAGGGATCGTTCTGAGTCTTCTTTCTTGTTCCTTTGAAAAGGATAGAAATTCCTGTGACTGCTTATTGCAGTGGACCTGTGGAATTTTCCTCCAAACCTGACTGATGGCTCCTACCGATCGTCATCGTGGCCCAGAACGCAGCCTCTGCCACCTTGGGGCACCTCGGCAGGCTCTTCAGGCTGCGAGGACCCCAGACTAGAAGAGAGGTGGGTGGTTGAGGGGGCGAGGTGTCATCCAGCCCTCCGGGCACATTCCAGGACAGGCCGCCAACACAGGCTGACAGGGGTGGGGGGCCTCTGCTGGCCTGCCCCTGGGGCTCAAGCCCTGCTCACAGCTTGATGATGTGCAGGGGCAAGGGGGTGTCTGTGCGGAGAGAATGTTCTGGTGACATGGAAGCAGCTGCAGGGGCCCTGGGGGAGCATTTCTGGAAGACCCTCCAGGGGAGAAGGGAGATCACTTGGACAAATTGGTGGCTCTGGCTACGTTTATGCTTTTACCTGCAGGAGGACGGGCCTTGGGGAGGCCTGCTTTTCCTAATCCAAGTGGGGTTGACAACCTGGGTTTATTTATTCAACAAATATTTAGTAAGTGCCTGCCATGTGCTTGCTAGGAGCTGGTCTAGGCACCGGGGACGTATCAGTGAGCCAGATGGACCGGAGGTTCTACCTCTTGGGGAGTTTGTGTTCCCAGGAATGGGGGAAGACAAACAATAAATATAACCACCGAGAGAATGTTATCTTATCTCTTAAAAAGGTGAGGAGCACTATGGGAAAATGTAAAAGGGGAAGAGAAGCTCGATGGGCAGTAGGAGATGGGGTGGGAGCTGGACTCAGCAAGGTGGGGGACGGACGCAGATGAGGTCACCCCCCCCCCCAATCTCTCTGGCCTGAGGAATTATCTCGAGCTGGCTCGAGATAATTCGAGATAAAGGCTCAAATTATTTTTAAGGGAACGGCAGACACAGAAGCTCTGAAAAGCTACCCTCCCGAAAGAGACATTTCCATGTACAAGGGAACTCTCCGTTTTTGCAAGGGTGGCTCCCTCTCTGGACCGGGAAGAGAAGAAATGACCAAATCTCTAGCAACTCTGATCAGTGGAGGAGGCCCTGACCTAAATCTGCATCACAACCTTAACACTTGTTGCTTGTGCTTTTCCGGTAACCTCCCGGAGCCGGCCTTCCCCTCCCCCAACATCTTCTTCGGGCTTTGGCTGGAGATGGTATTTAAAGGGGGTGGCTTCAGCCAGCTTGGAGTTAGTCAGGTTTTGTTTGGTTTTGGTTTTGGGGTTTGTTTTTTTTTTGGTCTCTCCCATATATACAGGAGCTGGACGTGTTATTAAATGACTTGTTTTTCTCCTCTTAATCTGTCTTTTGTTACGGGAGCGTCTCAGCCTAGAAGGGTAAAGGGAAAAGTATTTTTTCTCCCCTACAGGGGTCAGGAAGGCCTCATCAAGAAGGTGACATTGGAGCAAAGGCTCAAAGGAGGTGAAAGAGTAGGCCGGGCAATTTTCTAGGGAAAGAAACCTCCTGGGGCGCCTGGGTGGCTCAGTCGGTTAAGCATCTGCCTTCAGCTCAGGTCATGATCTCCAGATCCTGGGATCGAGCCTGGCCTTGGGCTCCCAGCTCAGCGGGGAGTCTGCTTCTCCCTCTCCCTCTGCTGCTCCCCCTGCTTGTGTTCTGTCTTTCTCTCTCTCAAATGAATACATAAAATCTTTAAAAAGAAATTAAAAAAAAAAAAAAGAAAGAAAGAAACTTCCTGTGAAAGGGACCAGCCAGTGCAAAGGTCCTGAGGCAGGATCACCTGCAGTATTCCAGGAGTAGCAAGGAGGCCAGTGTGGTTGGGGCCAAGGGAGGGAGAAAATAGCATATGAAGGCTGAGAAATAAGGAACGGGGCAGATTCTTGTACCTTCTTGGAGGCCATTGTCAGGACCTTGGTTTTTTTCTTTGAGTAAAATGGGGAGCCACTGCAGGGTTTTGAGCAAAGGAGTGACTCAGGTTTTAAAAGTATCACCCTTTTCAATACCGACTTTCCGAAATTCTCATGCAGAATAAAAAGGTAATAAGCAACATTAAATTTCAGTATCGATTTTCTAATGTGTGCTAAGCATTGTACATTGCAGTTGTTAGGGATGTAGCAGGATCAGGGCACCTGGGTGGCTCAGTCGGCTAAGTGTCTGCCTTCAGCTCAGGTCATGATCCCAAGGGTCTTGGGATCGAGCCCTGCATCAGGCTCTCTGCTCAGCATGTCCTTCCCCTCTGCTCGTGCTCTGTCTCTCAAAAAAAAAAAAAAAAAAAAGGAATGTATCAGGATCTTCATGAAAGAATTCACTGTTGCATGTGGTAGGGGGAGGAGGGTCCTGTTAGAAGAAACAAAGTCAATTACAACACCAAGTGAAGAAGCACAGAGGTGATGGGAGGAGTCTAGGAAGGCTTCTGGAAGTGATGTTGGAACTGGGTTCTAAAGGCCGAATAGGAGTTTTCCAGGTTGGCCAAAGGAGGAAGGGTCATTTCAGCAGAGGAAACAACCTGTGGAAAGGAACAGAGGCTTGAAAGAGCAGAGAACTATAAAGAATTCAGGAATGAGTGGACATGGTTCTGTGGAAGGTGCCAGGGGGAATGAGCTAACGTGAAGTTGAAGAGAGAAAGGAGATGGGGAATCAGAATGAAGGAGAAAAAAAAATGCCCATCTTTTTTTTTTCCCATGGCAGTTGAAGATGGGTTCTCTGCCCAGGCTTCACATGGCAACAACAGAAATATCTGGTTTCTGAGACTTTTCCTAGTTTCCAGAAGGAGACCCTGAGTGCAAGGAGTTCATCTGGAAGGTGATCCCGGGAGGCACCAGCAAAAGCATAGGGGAATGAGACAGAGAAGGGAAGGAAAGCAGTAGAGGGTGCGTGAATAAGCAGATGGGAAATCACCTCAGTCCTGCCAGGCCCTCTGGGAGTAAGCGTCACATTTACCCAAGGGGCGAGGGAGCTGGGGGATTTATTCTCCAGTCCCATCAGTCATTAGTTAAGGGTTGTCCCTAGGGGTGGTAACTCCTTGGCCCTCCCAGCCTTTCCTGCAGCCAGGGGGAAATACCCAGGCAAAGAGCTGGGGGTGTGAAAGATGAGTACTGAGGGCAAATGCACATGCACCCACCACATCTGTTACAACTGTATGCATTTCTCCAGCTCTTCAGCAACTGACTAGATCTGCACCACTGTGCGGGAGAGGCCTTGAGCCTAGCTGTGGCCAAGATGGATGCTGACATGGATGGAGTCGGAGACAGACCAGGCCCAGGCCCACACCTGGGCATTCTGGGTACCATCTTGCTACAGTCCCCATGAAGTAGGCTCAGGGGTAAAAGGAGAGAGGGATGAGGAAGGACCCGCCAGGACACTCGCTTGGAGGTCAGGGGTAGTAGGAGAGTTTGCAGTGCTGAGTTTTGTCCCAGTATCGACAATCTCTCTTGTTTTTATTGTGGTAAAATATACCTAAGTAAGATTTATCATGTTAACCATCTTTAAGTATACCATTCAGTAGCATTAAGTACATTCACACTGTTGTGCCGTCATCACCACTATTTCCAGAACTTCTTCATCATCCCCAACGTAAAGTCCACCCATCAAACAATAACTCCCACTCCCTGCCAGCCGATGGTAGCCTCTCATCGACTTCCCGTCTCTATGAGTTTGCCTATTCTGAGTACCTCATATGAGTACAATCATAACACTACTTGTCTTCTGTTGTCTGACGTCTTTCGTTTAGCAGAATGTCTTCAAGGTTCATCCCTGTTGGAGCCTGTGTCAGAGTTTCAGTCCTTTATAAGGCTGGGTAATATTCCTTTGTATGGGCAGACCACTTTTTGTTTATCCATTCATCCATCAATGGCCATTTGGGTCACCTCCCCTTTTTGCCTGTTGTGAATAAAGCTGCTATGTACGTGGGGGTGCAACTATCTGTTGGAGCCTCTGTGTGTGATTCTTTGGGGTCTATACCTGGGAGTGGAATTGCTGGGTCATGTGGTAATTCGATGTTTAACTTCTTGAGGAACGTCCATACTGTTTTCTGCAGTGGCTCTGCCGTTTTACACCACCTCCAGCAATACACGAGAAATCTCTCCATGCCAGGTGCTGGGGTGGAGATGGAATGAGGACCACTCTCCATATGGAGGAGTTGCGGTGGGGTCATGGCGGGGTCAAGTGAGGACACACCCAGACTTAGCACGGTAAGGCCTAGTGACAGGGGAGGGGACCCTTTTGGTCTCCTAGCATCCAGTTCATTCTACCACCGCTGCATCACTTCAGTTGGACTAAGAGAGCTAGAGGAACGTAGGTTTGAGTCCTGCCTTTACCGTGGCCATGTGACCTCAGAACAAAGGATTTCCCTTTCCTGAGCCTCATTTCCTTTGTACAAACAAATGGGAAGAGTAGTAGGGTGGGGTGAGCATGCAAGGAGGTATTGAAAGTCCAGTGGTGAGCACGGGGCCTGGCCGATGGCGTTTGCTCAATCAGTGGGTGCCATTGTCATTATGATTCATTTCTGGGGAATCCTCTGAGTGTGAACATCTAGATGGCAACTTACACACCTAAAGTCGAGGTTAAGAGCCTACTCCGTGCCCACTGCTGTGCTAGCATTTGGGGATGGAGCGTTGCAGTGGGCCCCACGATACACTGGCCAGATTGCCCTTCCAGAAAGCACTTGCTGTCCCAGTTTGTGGGGCACTTTCAGGGGTACCCTCTGGCTGTCAGCACCTTCAGGGGCTGCCTCAGCTACAGAGAGAGTGCCTTGGTCCAAGTCATGGCCTTTCAGTGACCTTTAAATATGAGGGTATAAAGATCTAGTTCCCTGGGCTCACCTCTGGACAACTCTGTGGCAGGCTGAATAATGCCCCCAACCTCCCCAGATGTCCACATCCTCGTTCCGGGAACCTGTGAATATGTTTGTCACCTTATGTGGCAAAAGGGACTCTGCAGATGTGCTTAAACTAAGGATCTTCAGTTGGGGAGATTATCCTAGATTATCTGGGCCCGATGTAATCACAAGGGGCCTTATAAGAGGGGCAGGAGGATCAGTCACAGAAGATGTGACAAGGGAACCAGAGGTCAGAGTGAAGTGCCTGCTGCCTCTGAAGAGGGAGGGAGGGGCCAAGAGCCAGGGAATGCAGGTAGCTTCCGGAAGCTAGAAAAAAACCAAGTGAACAGATTCTCCTCTGAAGCCTCCAGAAGGAATGCAGTCCTGCTGACGTGTTGATTTTAGATATCCGACCTCCAGAACTGTAAGAGAATAAACTTCTGGTGTTGGAAGGCAGTAAAGCCGATGGTGATTTCCTCCGGAAGCAATAGGAATGATGCAGTTCTGAGGGTGGGTCCAGCTCCAGGGCTCCCCCGGGGCCTGGGGACAGGGCCACAGAGGCTGCCGTGCTTCCCTCTGCCCCATCTCGCTCCCCGATTCCCTCCGGCAGCGGTCAGTGCCATGAGCACCTGAATGAACACCCTGCACCTTGAGCTCCACCTCAGAGTCTGCCTCCTGGGGAACCCGACCTGCTACACAGTCGCCATGTATTTATTATAAGGCTTTGTTAATGAACAATTTCAAACAGACACAGAAGTAGTAAGAACAGCATAACCATCCCGCATGATCCCACCGCCCAGCCTGAAACTGTGGCCAACTCGTGGCCAATCTGCCTTGATCTATATGGGAATGGTAGCTGAAATCGGGAGAAGCAGGGCTCCCCCCGAGACCTTCCCAGTCTAGGTGGGGAGTTTAGATGGTGTAGACATCTCTGAAGCCAAGAGAACCCCTGGCAGCAGACCCCGCGTCCCCAAGCGTGGGGTCAAGGGCGCAGAGAAGCAGCGTTGGAGAAAGACAGGAAAGGAGAGAGCTAACCAGAAGACAAAGAACTGATGGGGCAGACTATGTCACAAAAGGGTGGGTCCTAGGGTCACGGGCAAACTCGTCTAAAGGGTCCAAAGTCCAAGGCAGGAGGCAGGTGATAGGAAAACGGACATCGGCAGGTAGCAGTTGAATAGAGTAGGCTACCACTTGCCTTTGTTTGTTTCTTTTTTCTTTTTTCTTTTTTTTTTTAGCCGGCTCATATGCCCATCCTGGGGCTCGAGCTCTTGACCCAGGGATCAAAGAGTCCCTTGCTCTACCAATGGAGCCAGCCAGGTGCCCCCACCTGCCTTTGTTTCATTCCATTGTCTTTCTAATGTTTGTTTAAATAGGCCCCCTCCTGCTCATACATGACTATTAATAATAGTGATGCTAGAATCATGCCAACTGCTGAGCTAAGCACTTCCCACAGGTGATCTCACCGGTCTGCCCAGCAACCCCGGGAGGCAGATACTATTTTTATCCCCATTGCACTGAGACTCAGTGAAGTAAGGCCACTTGGCCAAGGTCCCATGGATGGTGTATTAGCTTCCTGGGGCAGCTGTAACAAGTTACCACACACGGGGGCCTTACGATGACAGAAATAGATCGTCTCTCAGTTCTGGAGGCCAGCGGTCTGAAATCGAGGTGTCAGGCAGGGCTGTGCTCCCTCGGAAGTTTCTAGGGGAGGATCCCTCCTCGTGTCTTCTGGCTTCTGGTGACTCCCGGTGTTCCTTGGCTTGTGGCCGCATCCCTCCAATCTTGGCCTCTGACGTCACATCACCTTTTCTCTCCATGTGTGTCCCTCCTCCCTGTGTCTCCTACGAAGACACTCGTCATTGGATCCAGGGGCCACTTGGAACACTCAGGATGATCTCTCAAGATTAATTACATCTGCAAAGACCCTTTTCCCAAATAAGCTCACATTTCCAGGTTCCAGGGCTTAGGACGTAGGCATAGCTTTTTGGAGGCCACCATCCACCTTGCTACAGATGGGAAGAGGGGGACCAGGGGTCTGAACCTAAGAAAGAGGATCTGCTGGGGTGCCTGGGTGGCTCAGTTGTTAAGCGTCTGCCTTCGGCTCAGGTCATGATCCCAGGGTCCTGGGTTCGAGCCCCGCATCGGGCTCCCTGCTCTGCGGGAAGCCTGCTTCTCCCTCTCCCACTCCCCCTGCTTGTGTTCCCTCTCTCGCTGTGTCTCTCTCTGTCAAATAAATAGATAAAATCTTTAAAAAAAAAAGAAAGGATCTGTTGTCTGCAGAATGTGAGGCAATTTTGCCAGGAAGAGCTGGAGCGGCAGGAAGCTCCTTGTGCTGGTTTTACAATGTGCCACAGGCTCTTTGACACTCCTCCCACTACAAGGTGACGTCACTGACCCCCCCAAATCTGGGCGGGCTTGTGACTCATTTGTCACCAAAAGAGTATGACGAAGTGGTGCTGCGTGACTTCCAGTGGTGCATCAGAAAAGGCAATGCAGCATTTGACTTCTTTAAAAAAAAAAAAAGATTTTATTTATTTGAAAGAGGGTGCGCACGGGCGGGGGTGGGGGGCGGGGGAGCACAAGCAGGGGGAGGGGCAGACTCCCCACTGAGCACGGAGCCTGACAACTTGGGGCTCGATTCCAGGACCCCGGGATCATGACCTGAGCCAAAGGCAGACGCTTAACCCACTGAGCCACCCAGGCATCCTCAGCATCTGCCCTTTTTACGCCATTGGCCTTGGGAGCTCTGAGCTGCCCTGTGGGCCATCTCATTGCCCTGAGGCTGCCAGGCTGGGAGGAAGCCCAGGCCAGGGGAGAAGTCCCATGTAGGTGTGTCTTGATCAGTAGCTGTAGCTGAAACAGCATCCCCTACCTCCAGATGATTCCAGCCCCCCCCCCTCCACCAGCCCCCGGCTGTCCGGTCACCCCCGGCCACGGAGCCTTCCCAGCTGAGGCCCCAGAAAATCCGGGAGCAGAGACAAGCTGTCCCTGCCGTCCCCTGTGAATTCCTGCCGCACAGAATCGAAGCATTAGAACACGGCTGTTTGATGCCACTACGTTTTGGGGAGGGGTGTCACACAACAGTAGTGATCAGGACACCCCTTCGTGTCTAGAAAAAGCCCCAAATCGGGGGGGGGATGGTTAGTAGTTCCTGAGAAATAGGTCTGACTCAGAGAGACAAAGAAAACATGTCCTGTCTGAACAAGCACACAGCCCCCACCCCCATTCCCAGTGGTTCCCTGATGAGAGGTGAGGTGGGGGGCGGGGGGCACAGAAAATGGAAGCAGCTCCTCGGGTGGCCAGAGACCATCCCTCCCCAAAGCCCACATGCAGACAGAGCCATGCGGCCTGAGGCTGCAGCCAGGCCTCCGCCAGCCTCCTGTCTCTCCAGCCCCCACCCCCTGCCAGAGCAGGGCTCCTGAGCACGGCCATGGCCATGACCACTTCCCACGCAGCTGCTGCAGACCGCACGCCCCAGGGCCCGTCCCTCCCCAGGTCCTGGCCACCAGACTGACCTGCCCTGGGGCCCAGCCTGCCCTACCCCACGGGGGGACCGCCAGGGACTCCAGTCCCGCCTCTGCCAGGACCCTGGGGTCCGCCTGCAGCCCCCGCCACCAGTTACTGCGCAGCCCCATTCATTTGCTGGATTGGATCTTTGGATTTTGTCATTTGCTATGCGGGGTTTTCTTTCTGACTAATTTGTTTACCAGGTTTAATTCTTCAATCATGTTTTCATTTTAAGAGATTTCAGGGTAATTACGAACTTTGAATAAATCCATCTGAGGCACCGAAGTGCTCTCAGCTCAGCTCGGCAAGGGCCTGCCCTTCCACCCGCTATGCTTGAGATCTGGTGTGAATAGGACCTCTCCTGCCCGCCCCCACCCCAGCTCCTGCAATTGAAAACAGCTGGGCCTCCAGGAGCCAAGGTCAGGATTGGAGAAAAAGCCACAACTGAAAACCACACTGGGGTGGGGGGTGGGGGTGAAATCAGGCCTGCCAGGATCCGGCCCCTCCCCACCCGTTTCACCCACGCTGCTCCCCAGCCCGAGGCTGGGTGGCCCCAGCATTGCCAGCTGAGCATTTATCAAAGAAGGGTGCAGGGGTAC